GGGTCAGTATGAATCAGAATCAACATGATAACAATAGGTTTGATTTTATTTTGGGTTTATATTTCAGTTTGTACTTACCCCTAGGATGTGGCCCTTTGAGGTCTCAATGTAAGCCCCATCTGTTTACCTGGGCTCTTCCACTTTGGCTGGCCTTGATATCTAACCTGACTTCTCAGTACCAAATGACTGGCTGTTGATGTGTCCACTTAGCTCTTTGGCCTCCCTGCTCTTTGCTAAATTTTTTGTTTCTCCGTATGCATGCATATTTTAGGAGTTGGAAGAGTTGATAAATTCCTCAAGGGTAGATTACACATGGATTTTCGGGCACTCTCAATGTGGTTCCTTCCTCTTTGGAATATTGCCTCTCAGATCCTAGATGCTTTGACTTTCACAGACTCCAACTCCTTAGCCCAGTGGGACTTCTGTTTTCTGATTCTGGACTCAGATTTAGCAAATATCCTCAAAAGAAGTAACCATAGTAGATGTGGTGCTCATCTTACTAAGTTTCCTTTTTCTTATGGGTCATAGCCCCATCACATTAAGTCTGTATTGTTTGCTCTCCAGTGCTTTTTAATAGTTGTCTTTTATATTGAATTTGGTGAGAGATGAAATATGATATAAACTAGTCGGCCATGCTTGGCCTGATGTGTGCATACATTTTATTTCATTTTAATCACTCACACATTTTTGCTTGCTATAACTGTTGTTGCAGACTGTATATACTAATAGCATTTACCATTGTTGTTATGTGGCATCCAGTAAGTTCCAACTCATAGCGACCCCATGTAGGGTTTCTGAGGAGTGACTTGTAGATTTGAACTGCTGACCTTATGGTTGGCAGTCCATTGCTTATCCTACAGCACATGGGTGCCTTTCAGTATTCTCATTTACCATCCCTAGTAATATTGCTTTCTATGTGTAAACCTATTCTTGACATTTTATAAAAGTGGTATATACTATTTGTTCTTGTTTTTTACTTACCTTACTCAGCATAATGTCCTGCAGCTTTGTTCATGTTATAAGATGTTTCACAGACTCATCAGCATACAGATTGAATAAGTCTGGTGAAACAATACCACCCTGACAAATGCTGAGCATGTTCTTCACTTTTGGTTTTCTAACTCTAGGTCTTTGCACATTTCATTATAATACTTGACTGTCTTCTTGAGCTGCCTTTTGAAATTTTCTGTTCAACTCTTTTGCTTCCTCATTTCTTCCATTTGCTTTAGCATCTCTGTGCTACAGAGCAAATTTCAGAATCCCTTCTTAGTTCCATTTTGGTCTCTTGTTTCTTTCCTGTCCTTTCTTCTTGTATGATGTTCTTGATGTCATCCCACAGTTCTTCTGGTCTTCTATCATTAGTATCTAATGCTTCAAATCTGTTCTTGAGATGGTATTTAAATGCAGGTGGGATATGCTTAAGGTCATATTTTGGCTCTTATGGACTTGTTTTAATTTTCATCAGCTTCAGCCTCAACGTGCATATGAGCAATTGATGTTCTGTTCCACAGTCTAACCCCTGGCCTTGTTTTGGCTGATGATATTGAGCTTCTCCACAGACTTTCCTCATAGATACAGCCAGTTTGATTCCTGGAATACACAGGAATGCACACACACATGATCTATATCCGAGGCCATATATTCCAGCTACTGATCTTTTCTTTTTGTTTCCAACCTTCACATTCCAATCTCCAGTAATTATCAAGTACATCTTGAGTGCATGGGTGATCAATTTTGGAGTGAAGAAGTTGGTAGAATTCTTCAATTTCATCATCACTAACCTTAGTGATTGGTGCATAAACTTGAATCATAGTGATGACATTAACTGGCTTTCCTTGTAGGAGTATGGCTACTATTCTTTTACAGACAACGTTGTACTTCCAGATAGATATTGAAATGATGAATGTGATGCCATTTCTCTTCCGTTTCTCTTTCCTGGCATAGTAAGCCATATGATTGTCAGATTCAAAATGGCCAGTCCCAGTCCATTTCAACTCCCTACTGCCTAGGATACTGATCTGCATGCATGTGCATGCATTTTAAATTTATTTAAATAACAGTACACTATAGATCTTGTTCTGTGTCTGATTTTCACTGGAGTGTGTTTAAAAAACATTCGTGTTACTTTTCTAGTGATTTCTTTTAGCTGTTGCACAGTATGCTTTTTACTTAGCTAGTCCTATAGTGATAGTCATCTAATTTGTCTCCAGCTTTCCCACTCCCTGGACTATGTTGCAGTTAAAAGAGTTTGTTCTTGATTTCATTTTGGCCAACACAGAAATTATGTCCTCTTGTGAAAATTTGGTACCAAATTTTTGTAATTTGTTTCATTATCTTATTTCTGTTAGGGGAATTGACTCTTAGAAATTCTTTGGCTGTTGTAGACTTAAACTGCTCCCTTTCCCTTTTCTTCTTTGCCAATTCCTTCAATGCACCTTGGACTTCCTCCCTGAGTATCATTGGCTCTTGATCATATGGTACCTCTTGAAATGGTTGAACATTAGCCATTTCCTTTTGGTATAGTGACTCTTGTGTATTCCTTCCATCTTATCTTGATGCATTCTGCATCATTCAAAAATTTGCCCAGAGAATATTTCAATAATGAAAGTCGAGGCTTGAATTTTTTCTTCAGTTCCCACAGCTTGAGAAATGCTGAGCGTGTTCTTCCTTTTGGGTTTTCTGATTCCAAATCTTTGCACATTTTATTATAATATTTGGCTTTATCTTCTCGAGCTGATCTTTGAAATTTTCTGTTCAGCTCTTGGACCTCCTCATTTGTTCCATTTGCTTTAGCATCTCTATGCTGGAAAGCAAGTTTCAGAGTCTCTTCTAACATCCATTTTGACCTTTCCTTCTTTCTTGTCTTCTTAATGTCTGTTTGCTCTCTTCACGTATGCTGTTCTTGATGTCATCCCACAACTCTTCTGGTCTTCAGTCTTTAGTGTTTAATGTATCAGATCTGTTCTTCAGATGATCTCTAAATTCAGGTGGGATATATTCAAGGTCATATTTTGGCTATCGGTGACTTGTTTTCATTTTCTTCAGCTTCAGTCTGAATTTGCATATGAGTAATTGATGGTCTGTTCCACAGTCTGCCCCTGGCCTTTTTTTGACTGATGATATGGAGCTTTTCCATCCTCTCTTTCCACAGATGTAGTCAGTTTGATTTCTATGTGTTCCATCTGGCAAGGTCCATGTGTATAGTCATCTGTTATGCTGTCTAAAGAAGGTATTTGAAAGGAACAAATCATTGGTTTTGCAGAATTCTATCATGTGTTCTCCAGCATCATTTCAGTCACCAAGGCCATTATTTTCCAACTACTGGTCCTTCCTTTTTGCTTCCAACCTTTGCATTCCAATCACCAGTAATGAGCAATACATCTTGATTGCATGTTTGATCAATTTCAGATTGAAGAAGTTGGTACAATTCTTCTTATTTCATCCTCACTGGCTTTAGTGGTTGGTGCGTAAATTTGAATAATAGTGGTATTAACTGGGCTTCCCTGTAGGCACATGGATATTATCCTATCATATATAGTGTTGTACCTCATGACTGATCTGGATATGTTCTTTTTGACGATGAATGCAACACCATTCCTTTTCAATTTGTCACTGCCGGCATAGTAAACCATGTGGTTGTCAGATTCAAAATGGCCAATATCAGTTCATTTCAGCTCACTAGTGCCTAAGATATCCATGTTTATGCATTCCATTTTATTTTTGACAACTTCCCAAATTTCCCAGATTCATACTTCATATATTATTCCATGTTCCGATTTTCAGTGGATGTTTACAGCTGTTTCTCTTCATTTTGAGTTGTGCCCTATCAACAAATGAAGGTTCTGTGGGCTTTTCTCCCACGAGTTTAACTCCATTCTTGTCATCATGGTCAACTCTACTTTGAGGAAGCATCTCTTTCCCAGTTGCGTTTTGAGTGCCATCCAATCTGAGGGGCTCATTTTCCGGTACTATATCTGACAGTGTTTCTCTGCTATTCATAAGGTTTTCAGTGACTAAAGGTTCGGAAGCAGTTCATCACTCTTCCTTCCTAGTTTGTCTTTGTCTGGAAGCTCATCTGAAACCTGTCCATCGTGGGTGACCCTGCTGGTTATTTAAAATACCAGTGGCATAGCTTTCAGAATCACAGCAACTCACAAGCCACCACAGTACGACAGACGAGTAGTGGCCATTTGGTTTTATGTAGAAACTGTCACTTTACATTTAGAGGAGATCTGTGCGCATGCATAGTAGAACCCTCCAGGGGTAGGGGTGGGGTATCCATTCGCTCAGGTATCCCCTCTAGTTACCAGAATGGAGGTGCGCAGTCAGGGAGAGATCAATGAACAATGGACAGATACCCAAAAAATGAATGTCCACACCTGTATCTCCGTGGTTCTGTCAGGTGTTCATGGCTGTTCTGATCCTTCCCCCACTTGTTCTCTCCCAAGATGGCGGCTCCAGGAATAGCTGAGCGTCTTGAATTAGAAAGCAATGGATTTCTTGATTCTCCTACAAATTCCCCTAGCTCTAAGCCTTCCAATCTTCTAAATATTCCTTTATATGTGGTTCAGAGTTCTAGCACCATCCCCTGAGCCTGATTTGCTTGGTAGTCTGTGTTGTTATTGACGGAGCTCTTCACTGCACGTCTACCCGATCTGCCATCTAGATCCACATAGTGGATAATAGGTATTATTGTTGATTTAAGTATAAACCATAGCTATTTATTTCCTTTGAATACTAAATGTGTTTTTGTGGAAATGCCTATATTGCTAATTTGGCATCTACAGATATAATACCTTGTTTTGGTTTTAATGAGTTATGTTCTTTTCCATTAATTGAGTTTAAGCTTGTAGAGAACAGAGGTTTGCCTAGAATCTAGCCTAGTTTACTTTTCCTGCATACTAAATTTAAGATTATGTTTGGATCCTATTTACTGATTTCCTCCTCTCCATTTTGAGAAACTGAAAGCAAGTTAAATTAAAACTGAGCTTCCCCTCTAGGTCGCCAGGATGCTTACAGAGACATCTCTTGTGTCTTTCGGTAATTTTGAGGAGACATTGGGTCGCATGCTGTTTGGCTATCAGCAACTTTCATCATGTGAAAAGAAAAGTGGAATTAAATCCAATGGCACTGGGTCATCTGGTTCAAAACCTACAGTTGATGCTTCAGATAACCTTAAAAAGAAACATAGTAAGAAGACTGAGTAGATTTACTTCCTGAGTTCTAGAAAGAAAAAAAAAAAAAAAAAAAAAGCAAAAATTATCTACCTGTAAGATTGACAAATGTGTCTATGTAAATGATGTGAAATAAAGATTTTATATACAGAATGAAGGGGACAAAAAGAACCTTCTTTCTGTTTCAGGGAGATTACCCCTTTTTGGATTGTAACGTTGAATGCTGTATGTGTATCATGTGAAATTGTTTTTTAAGTTAAATATAAAAGATTCTTCTGTGATTATTTTAATACTTTTATATTGATAAAATGAGACTAGATTAAAAATACATTTCAGAAAGTAAACCTAACAACACTGAAAAAAAACAAAAAACCTAAAATTTAAGACTTTTTAAATTTAGGTACTGTCATACAATTAAAAAAAAATTTCTTTGAACTGTAATTCAGTAGAATTAAATTTTATTTTATAGTATGATTATACTTTCCTAGGTATGAATAACAATTCTTATATAATTTTGAACACTGAAAAGTATAAATTTTTCCTAAATCACTTTATATTATGAATGAAAATAAATTGCTAATTTATATTAATGGAAAATATTTGGAATTTTCATTGATTTTTTAGTAGTAATATTTCTCAGTGAACTGAGTTTAGAACTGGAGTCTATCTTATGCTCTTTTTTAAAAAAAAACTAGTGTTCTTTTTCTCAAGAAAATCAAGGATGTAATTCTTAATTACTATTTCATGGTTGTTGGGTTTTCTTCTGAAACTTATTTTTTCTCTGTGTCCATAAGAGATATTTGTTTTAGCTGTAGGAGAAATCATCCTTCTCAGAGTTGCACATATTCATAACTTCCCTGTGATCTTAGTTGCACTAAATACATTGGCGATAGAAGTAATTATTTTACTGATTTAAAAAAGAATTTTTCTCTTAATTTAAAATATTTTCCCTCTTCATTTCCGTCTTAGTGGACAGTTTGTTTTTGAGTTAAATGTCTCTCACTAGTTTGCCATGTGTCTTTTATGTTTTAATCTACATGTACATATATTCTAGTTTTATTTTACTTAAAAACTAATTACCTTCATGTGAAGTTGCTTGGCTCTAATAAGAATTGTCATTCTGCATTTGATAGTCAGTAACCAGCTAACTAAGACAAGATAGAAACCAAAACCTCATATAGCAGTACATTTGAATGAAGAGTAATGACATTAAATTTGGTTTCTTATTGACAAAAATAAAAGTAAACAAATAAGAAAAGGTACTAAGTAATGCTATATTTTCTTACTCTGTTCTGTGTTTTAAAACTCCATTTATATAACTTTAAAGCTCTTTGACAGTTTTTTGAAACCATGAACCTGCTACTTTCAAAGAGTTAGTAAGTGCCAAGCATTTTGGAATAGTTTAGAAGTATTCAGATATATTCATGTTATAAGTTTGTTTTGTTTTATTTAACATTTTTAACACCAATGAGTTCTATACTTCTACTTGTTTAAAGTAAGTTTTTTTAAGGGGTTTTGTATCCTTGGAATGCAAAAAATTGTATTTTTAATATTGTGATGGAAAGCATTTAAGTATTAAAGAGTTCTGTATTATATTTGATACTCTTGTAGTTAAAAAAAACTTCAAAATTATCTTCTTAAGTATGACCTATTTTTTGATGTTTTAATTCAGTTGTGGTTGAAATGGTAGAGAATCTTGATTTATATTTGTATTAAAGATGAACTTATTAAAATATTTACAATGGAGTAGTATATTGTTTTAAAGTTTTTCCCTTTATGTTTTCTGTGAATTAGGAGTTGAGACTTATTAAAATATTTACAATGGAGTAGTATATTGTTTTGAAGTTTTCCCCAGTATGTTTTCTGTGAATTAGGAGTTGAGAACTCCTCTGGTGTTTTGACCTGCTATGATATATATTCAATCAAGAATCATACCTATCCTCTCTGTATACAGGGTTGATAGGGACGGGCAACTTAGATATTGGCTACCTAAATTGGGGTGCTACAAAGGCACGAAGTGACTGGCTTACAAGTTTCCAAGAGGGAGTTTAGTTTCAGAGTGTGTGGGGGAAGTAGAATCCCCACTGAATAGTTTTCATCTTTCTAGATGGGGATGGTGAAAGGAGATCGGCATAAGATTCTTAGATTCAATAATGATTGTTACCGTGACTAATTGCAATTGTCACAACTGTAAAGGTAGAAATTTTGTTAACATAAAGCGGGGAATAGTTAATCTTACATACCAGGAACAGAGCACCTTAGGGACTCTGAAGGGAGAAGAGCATGAGCAGAATGTGGGACCCTTAGCCAGAGAAGCAGTGACCCCAGAGATGGAGGCAAAGATGATGACATGGAGAGATAGAGCAGTTGAGGACTCTAGACTCATGAGAAGAGAAAGGCTGTGTGCTGGAGGCCAGGAGGCAGGCTTGCAGCATGTGCCCTCTGGGTTGTTTAAATGATTATATATTCTTGAGTGTTTTTGTGTACATTAAAAAAAAAAAAAAA